GTCATAATACAGTTGCAAGAAAAAGTATGTGAACCCCTTGGGATTATGTAGAGTTTTGCATGAATTGGGCATAAAATGTGCTCTGAGAGTAGCAACAGTGCTAAACTTTCTCCATTTGTCGACAGTCTGTCTTACCGTGGACACATGAACATCAAGGCTTTTGGAGATACTTTTGTAACCCTTTCCAGCTTCATGCAAGTCAACAATTCTTGATCGTAGGTCTTCTGAGAGCTCTTTTCTGCGAGGCATGGTTCACATCAGACAGTGCTTCTTGAAACCAGTAAACCCAAAACAGGTGTGTGTTTTTTTTAAGGGCAAAACAGCTGTCAGCAACACATCCAATATCATCACACTGATTGGAGTCAAGGTTGGCTCACTCCTGGCTCCAATTAGCTCTGGGAGAAGTCATTAAGCTAGGGCCTCACATTCTTTTTCCTTTTGCACTGTGAATGTTTACATGTTATGTGCAATTAAACCATGGCAACATCTAATGTTTGTGTAGTATTATGTTCAGCAGACTGTGTTCTTCTATTGTTGTGACTTAGATGACATTCAGAGCACATTTTATGCCCAATTCATGCAAAACTCCACGTAATCCCAAAGGGTTCACATACTTTTTATTGCAACTGTACATTACTAGACTGAGATATGGTTTTTTACGTTGTCTTTTTTTCATTATACTTTGTGTACTGATGTATCACCATCCTGTCCTGAAGAAGAGACAGAGCTGTGAAATGTGTTGATAAACAGATAAGGGATACTCAATGCATACAACTGCAAATGTGGTCGAAGTATTGAGATGGCCAAGCTGGTCTGACTGATGTTACGCTAAAGCGATCTCTCTCTCTATGCACGGCTTTATTTCCTTTTTACTGTGGATTCAATTTTTGGTCCGAAGTTTTGATCAACTTGTTTTTAATTGTGATTTAAATTTATGAATATTTAAATTGTGATTTAAATAAATATATGATGTGAACAACATAGAAAACTGACTGTCTCACTGTGTACCTGTAAAGTCCGAGTTTATAGATTATTTAATTTTTTTAGTGGTTTCAATTCAAAACTAAAAAAAAATGGTTTTGGCTATAGATACATTCTAATATTTTTATCATAACATGATTCTATAACCAAATATTGCCAGCGTACATTGATTTTCTCTTCCACCTTATAGATTAGCTAGTTCCCCTTTTTTTGTCTGCTATGCCCAAGAGCGAAGAGATTAACCACTTGCCCTCCTGAGGATTTACCCCCCTTCCTGACCAGGCCTTTTTTTTGCTGTTAGCTGCACTATTTCAACTGGTAATTGCGTGGTCATGCAATGCTGTACCCAAACAAAATTTATGTCCTTTTTTTCACACAAATAGTGCATTCATTTGGTGGTATTTGATCACCTGTGCACTTTTTATTTTTTGCGCTATAAACAAAAAAAAGACTGAAAATTTTGAAAAAAAAAAACAATTTTTTTTTTTTCATTTCGGCCATAAATAATATATAGTAAACTCAAAGTTAGTCATAAATTTAGGCCGAAATGTATTCTGCTACATGTTTTTGGTAAAAAAAAAAACAAGAACTGTATATTGATTGCTTTGTGTGAAAGTTATAGGGTCTACAAACTATGGTATACATACTGCAATTTACGCCATTTTTTGCTATACAGCTCTGCACTAGTTTAACTGACAATTGCGCTGTCATGCAATATGGTACATAAATGAAATTTACGTCCTTTTTTCACACAAATGGAGCTTTCTTTTGGTGGTATTTGATCACCTGTGTGCTTTTTATTTTTCACACTATAAACAAAAAAGACAGAAAATTTTGGGAAAAAAAAAACTGTATTTTTTAATTTCAGCTATAAAAAATATATACTAAATTCAAAGTTAGTCATAAATTTAAGCCAAAATGTATTCTGCTACATGTCTTTGGTAAAAAAAAATCCCAATAAGTGTATATTGATTGCTTTGTGTGAAAGTTATAGCGTCTACAAACTATGGTGTAGATAATGGAATTTACACAGCTTTTACTTTCTGACTGTCTTTAGGTGCTAAAATACCAGGACAGTACACACACACACCCAAATGACTCCTTTTAGGAAAGTAGACACCCTAAGCTATCTGCTGAGAGGCATATTGAGTCCATTGAAGATTTATTTTTTTTCCATAAGTTTTTGGAATATGACAAAAATTTTTTTTAAATGCCCCCCAAATTACCCCTTTTTAGAAAGTATACACCACAGAAAAAAAAGCAGAATATGCTGCATTTTTCCTGCACAGAACTGTACTGGAACACGGTAAAATGCATCAGTCTACACACTTCACAAACACACCGGACCCCAGTACTGTGAAAATAAAAAACAGGCAAAAAAGCATTTGGAATGCATCCTGGAAATGCATAAAAAATGCACCAGAACGCATCAAAAACTCGCATGCAGAAACAATGTTTTCCTGGTGTGAGCTAGCCCGAAGATCTTGTTGAGTTATTTGCCTTTTTATGTCAAAAATATTCTATTCTTTTAAATGCAACAAATCTAGATTATTAAACAATGTGGGAGATGCCTTTTTTTCTGGAATGTATAATTTCCACATAGTTGAATGCAGGATCCTGCAGATGCGTTTTCCTTTTCTAAAATACTGGTTTTAAGTTTAGATAAGTAAGGGGGGGGGGGCCATATTGATGTCGGAGGGCTGGGGAAAGTGACCATGTTTCATATTACATCTAGGTTACATGAAACATGGTCTGAAAGGTGAACTACGCCTTTAAAGCAGAATAAAAAGGTTTTACTTTTAATTCTTCTTCAGATTTTAAAAAGCTAAAGGGTTGTTTTTTAAAATAACAATAACATACTAAATCTTATTTGAGATCTCAGTGATTAGGTTTAGATATTTTTTAAGTTCTTTGAGCTATAGAACTCAAAACATTTTTTATGGCTATTTCCATTTCCCAAAATTATACTTATCATAGTAGTTCATACAATGCACTGAGCCCTGAAATTAACTGCTTCCCAACCGCGCTATAGCAGAAAGACGGCTACGGTGGTTGTCCAGTTCTGGGAGGGCGTTCATGGATGTCCTCACAGAACAAGCCCCCTGGGTGCCCCCAGTGGCCTGCACCCAGCGCTTTTGGTGATCACGTGATAAGGTAAAAGGCCAATCACAGCGGCCTTTTACCACATGATCAGCCGTGTCCAATGACACAGCAGATCACCGGGTAAATACAGTTGCCGGTTATCGGCTGCACTTTCCTCCTGCTGTCACAACACCGATAACCAGCAAATGTGGCAGGTGAGATCTGCACTGATAATCAAGGCACTGATAATCAGGGCACCAGCAGTGTCACCTAGCAGTATCGCCCATCAGTGTCACCCAGCAGTGCCGCCAATCACTGCCTCCCATCAGTGCCGTCTGTCAGAGCTGCTCATCAGTGCTGCCTATCAGTGCCCATTATTGCTGCATATCAGTGCATCATCAGTTCCTCCTCATCGATGCCCACCAGTGCCCCGTCACCAGTGCTACCTATCAGTGTTGCCTCATCAGCGCCCATTAGTGCTGCCTATCAGTGCCCATCAGTGCTGTGTATTAGTGCAGCCTCATCAACGCACAACAGTGAAGGAGGAAAATTACCTGTTTGCAAAATTTTATAACAGAAACAAAGAAAACCTTTTATTTCAAATTTTTTGCTATTTTTTTGTTTATAGTGCAAAAAATAAAAACCTCGGTGGTGAATAAATACCACCAAAAGAAATCTTTATTTGTGTGTGAAAAAAATGATAAAAATGTAATTTTGGGTACAGTGTTGCATGACCGCGCAATTGTCATTCAAAGTGCAACACCACTGAAAGGTGAAAATTGGCCTGGGCAGGAAGATGGTAAAAGTGCCCGGTAGGCAAGTGGTTAAAATAATCATAAAAAAATAATGATAATCCTGCAAAGTATTTGATTTATTCTTGGACGCATAATTCATGATATTCCAGAGGTAAAGTCACACTAAATGATATTTTTACTCCCTAAATAATCCCTACCTTTCCATTAATTAATGGCTCTGTAATTCATTCTTCATGAAACCAACGCTTATGGTGTTTTTCTGCCTCCTTGCAATGTGCTCCATGAGCTCCTGAACCCATCCTTTTCCCTCTCATGTGTGTTCTTTGTACACTGCAAATCCCATAGTCCATAGTCCATCTTGGAAGTGAGCAAGAGAGGGTGGCTACATTCCTACATACTATAAGGGACATTTATTAAAACTTAAGAGTGCAAAATCTGGTGCAGCTGTGCATAGAAACCAATCAGCTTCCAGGTTTTATTGTCAAAGCCTAAAGTGTTACTAAACCCAGGACCCTGCATTCACTATATCTGGTCTCCCACAGTACACACAACATGGAAATGCAATTATTTTAGTAAATATAAACTGCTAAATACCTTTTCACATCAGCAGTTAGAGCAGTCTTCTGACTTCTATCAGTGTTCAGCAGAGCACTGGTTAAAGCTTGTAGGAGGAGTTTTCATCCTCCTGTAGTAGGATGCAGAACCCCGGACCTCTGTCTGGAGAGTGCTGATTGGCCCTGTGCTGATCACATGCATTCTCACAAGAAAAAAAGACTCTCTAGCAATACACACCAAACTGAGCATGTGCAGCTTGCCCCGTTCTATCAGGAGATATTTAGAAGACACTGGAAGAAGGGGAGGATCAGAGAAGACAGGATCAAACATCCTATTTACACAATGCAGAGGATTAACCCCTTAGGTTCCACAGTGAATATAACAAGCATGCTTTACTGCATATACAGACTCAATTTACTGTTGTGGGTTTAGTAACACTTTAATTGAACAATTTGAAGTTTGAAGCTGATTGGCTAGCATGCACAGCTGCACCAGATTCTAAGTGCTCCAGTTTTAGTAAATCAACACCAGTGGGAACACGGAGAATGAATGTAGCCACCTTTTAACAGGTAGTCAGATCACAGCAACAAAAAAAAAAGGAATTTGGAGATTTGGAGGAGGCTAGGGACAACAGAAGCCAGAATTTGAGTTAACCACTTCCCGTCCGGCCGCTGTATATAAACGGCTGGACGGTGGCAGTCCAGAGGCGGGTTTCCATTCATAAATGGTGCCCACCATTTTGGATTGGGAGCGCTGTACGGGACCTCTGTGTGAGGTCCCGATCATGTGATCACTGATTGGCCAATCAGTGATCACATGAATAGGTGTAAGCAAGATGTCACTTCTGACATCATTGCTTACTACGTGTGAAATTTGTGAATGATCAGAGATCACATGGTACAAGGCTATTCACAACAGCCTTGTACCATGTAACAAGCTGTGACCAATCACAGCTCACACAGTATTTCTCAATGGCTGCAAGAATGCAGCCAGAGAGAAGGAGAAATTATTGCTTTTACAGCCTTTATGTGTGTAAAAAAGCAAAAAAAAATAAATCTTCATCACCCTCCACAAGTAGTACATTGTCACTATGGTGACACTGTACTGCTAGGGTGACAGTATGTTAATAAAAAAGTAATAATATAAAAAAAATAAAATAAAAATGTAAAACAATGTTTAAAAAATTATTATTTTTGGTTATAAACTAATTTGGGTTATTTTTTTTACTAAAAAGATAACTGAATACATTTTGGCCAAGATTTATGAAGAAAGATTATTTATTTGCAAAATTTTATAAGAAAAACACTTTTTTTCAAATATTTTGGACTTTTTCGTTTATATAGCAAAAAAAATAAAAATCCCAGTGGTGAATAAAATACCACCAAAATAAAGTTTTATCTGTCTCAAAAAAAAATGTTAAAAAAATTCATATGGGTACAGTGTTGCATGACATGCAAGTGTCATTCAAAGTGTGATAGCGCTGAAAGCTGAAACTTGGCCTGGACAGGAAGGGGGTGAAAGTGTCCGGACATGAAGTGGTTAAGAATACATACTTTTTTATTTATCCAGAGTTTTTTGTTACTTAATACTACGTACGTAGGGAATGGGTAGGGGTACCTGAGGTAGGTAATAACTGGCATACAAAATAGCATTCAGCCATCAGGCTTTATTAAAAGACAAGCTGTGACCCTGCTGTGCAAGAGTAAACTAGTGTCTCAGACTGCAAATGATGTATTTGAACACAGACGTAGCTTTGCTAGTGCCAAATTAAAGAGGAAAGAACCTCTTAGTGCACTATAGCTCCCAATATGTTACCATGGTTCATTTCCCAGAATCCCCTGTGACCCCCTGCTGACTTCCCTTATGAGCTAGTGTCCTGGAATCTCCGTTTATTAGGTGTCTAAAGAAGGTTGGCTGTGTTGATGCCAGCAGCCCCACACTGAGGCATTTATTGGTTTTTGTACATTCTCTGTCTATGTGCTCTACCCGGCATCAAAGTTTCCACAGCTGTTGCAGACCATGAAAGAAAAGCACATTCGTTTTCTATCAGCAGTCTGCTCCATTTTGACTTATCTGAATCGGGAGTAACTAAATGATCAAAGGAAAAGCTAAAAAGAGAAAAAAAGCTAATATATAAAGTTATAGTTGTTGTAGTGAGGAATAAGGTCCATTTTTTCCTTCTGCTTTTAAATTTGCAGTCATTTACAAACAGGTCTCCCCATCCCTGACCTTCTTATCCTTACCTCACCACTCCCCCCTTTTCTGCAACTGTCCGTATTATTTTAGTTGCAAAATATTTGTGGGTTTCCTTGCATGAACTGTCTGTTGAAAGTCCCCATATAAAGTCTAACTAGGATTCATATTGTGGCTTTGGCTAGGCCAGTCTATAACTCCCCTCCTTAGTGGGTTTGCTAGTGTGCTTCGGATTGATATTGGATTCAAAGATAAGTTTCCTGTTCACCCTCACATTCTCATCAAAAACACTTTGATATGAGGCATAATTGATTTGATGATGTTGAGCTGCCCAGGTTTCCACCACCATGCTTCACAATTGGTATGAGGTTCTTCTCCTTAAATACTGCCTTCTGTTTGTGTCAAACATGTCTACTCTTAAAGTGTTACTAAACCCAGGACCCTGCATTCACTATATCTGGTCTCCCACAGTACACAGAACATGGAAGTGCAATTATTTTTAAATATAAATTGCTAAATACCTTTCTCATGAGCAGTTAGAGCAGTCTTGTGACTTCTATCCGTGTCCAGCCCGCCACTAGCAGCTGAAAGCTTGTAGGAGGAGTTTTCTTTCTGTTTTAGGAGGATGGAAGTCCCCTGACCTCTGTCTAGACAATGCTGATTGGCCCTGTGCTAATCACATGCACTCTCCCAAGAAAAAAAAAAACCTCTCCAATACACACCAAACTAAGCATGTGCGCATGCCTACAGCTCAGTCTGGAGGTAGGTGGTCACTTGAAAAAGGAGAGGAACAGAGAAGAAAGGATCAAACAGCCTTTTTACACAATGCAGAGGATTAACTCCTTAGGTTCCACAGTGAGTATAACAAGCATGCTTTACTGCAGATACAGACTGATTTTACAGTTGTGGGTTTAGTAACACTTTAAGGTGTCTGAATGACTCTATTTTTGATTCATCAGCCCACAGCAAATTATTCCAAAAGGTGTGGTCTTTGCTTAAATGTCACTGACAAACTGTAGTCTTGGTATAATGTTCTTTTTGACAGCAAAGGCTTTTTGTTGGCAAATCTCTCATGCAGGTTAAATTCCAAAAAATGCCGGGAACAGGTGAATACAAAAATCTTCTTTATTGCATAAAGGAGTAAAAATATTCCATGGCAAACTTACACTAACGCTTTTCAGTCTAAAATCAGATCTTATTGATAGCTAGTTATAGCAAAAATAACAAAACCAATATATAGAGTGGAACAAGTCTGCCCAACCAACCATCCATAATTGGATCAAATAACTACACCTGTAGATGCAGGGGACGGGCTGAGCTAGGTAAGTTTGCCAAGGAAGTTTGCCATGGAATATTTTTACTCCTTTATGCAAATAAAGAAGATTTTTGTACTCATCTGTTGCCAACATTTTTGGAATTGGACTTGTACTTATAAGCAGATGGAGACTGCTAGTCGGGCATGGTGAGCTTCTATGCTTTAAGCCTAATACATTTGACAGGTAGTAGCATCCCACTTCTCTTTGGATTTGCTCGTGCAGGTTACATTGGTGCAATCTCTTCGTTATTGTAGATTCATGCACTTTGACACCAAGAGGTCTATTTATAAATGTTTTTACTCAAGGTTCACAAAACTTTGACTTCGGATTCTTGTACCAAAAAATTGGTAAACAGGCCCTCGACTGTAAGAGTTACCTGAATATTTTACAATTGTGGGGTTGTTAGAAGCATTCTTTTACCATCAGTCAGCTGAGTTTGCTGGGCACAACAGTCTTGGATAAATTAGCAGTATTTTGAAATCTACCCACTTGTTGAATTTGTTTCTTGCAACAGAATGTTTTATTTCAAATCATTGGATGATGATCTTTTTAAATTCCCTGCCAGGCTTTCTGATCTCTATTGATCTTGGCATGATGACACTACACATGTCAGAAGCAAAGAGAACACCAGACCCTAGATATCTGAGGTTAAAATAAGAGGTTTCATTGCTTACTCCCTAAGGAGATTCTAATCATTGGCACCTAAGCTGGAACACTGGATTCTAATTTCATGGATTTGAAGTGGTGATAGTGGTGTACTTACTTTTCCATGTGACAGTTCTGTATTTTCATTCATTTAGATCAGAGGTCTCCATACTTTGTAGCCAAAGGGCAAGTTTACTGTACTTCATACTTTAGGGGGGCTGGACTGTGGCCATTGGGAGGAAGGTCCTGGTGTCAGTGAGAAAAAACAATGCCCCATTTTTGGTGTTACTGTGAGGAATTGTACCCCATCAGTGGTGTCAGTGGGTATCAGTGGGAGCAATAGTGCCCCATCATTGGCGACATAGGGCCCCATTGTAGGTGTCATTGGAAGAAATTGTGCCTCATTGTTGGCATCATTGGGAAGAATTGTGTCCCATCATTGTGTCATATGCAGGAGTAGTACCCCATCATTGGTGTCAGTAGGGGGGAATTATATCCCATCATTGGTGTCAGTAGGCCCTATTGTTGGTGTCGTTGGGAGAAATTGTTCCCCATCATTGGTGTCATAGTGGCTAATTGGTTAGCACTTCTGCCTGGCAGTACTAGGGTCGTTGGTTTGAATCCCAACCATGGCATCATCTGCCTGGAGTTTGCATGTTCTCCCTGTACCTGCGTGGGTTTACTACGGTTTCCTCCCACACTCCAAAGACATGCTGGTAGGTTAATTGGCTCCTGTCTAAATTGGCCCTAGTATGTGTTTGTATGAATGTGAGTTAGGGACCTTAGATTGTACGCCCCTTGAGGGTTAGGGACTGATGTGAATGTACAATATATATGTAAAGCGCTGCGTAAATTGACAGCGCTATATAAGTAATAATAATAATATAGAGGAATAGTACCCATTGTTGTCAGTGGGCCCCATTGTTGCTGTCATTGGGAGGAATTTGCCCCATCATTGGTGTCAGTGGGGGGAATTATGCTCCATTGTTGGTATCAGTGGAACAAATAGTGCCACAAGGGACTGATAAAAGCAAGCAAAGGGCTGCATCTGCAGCTTGGAGACCACTGATTTGGACTATGAGAATAAATATACCATGTACGCACTGTTTGAATGAAAATCTAATATTTGCCTGTTCAAATACTGTATGTTGAAAGAGTCAACAATTTCCTAACTTTTAACCTGACTGTCTGTACTTTATGGGGAACTACAATGTGAAAACATTGGACAGCATTGCTTAGGTATGTTAAGTTGTTATGCAAAATGAATGACACCCCAATGCACTGCTCTCCATTTTATCCAGCAGGTCCCTGAATACAAACATGTTGTTATTATTATTATTATTATACAGGATTTATATAGCGCCAACAGTTTGCTCATCGCTTTACAATATAACGGGATACAATACAGCAACAATACAGTTCAATACAAGAGGGTTAGGAGGGCCCTGCTCCTTGGAGCTAGTATGTTAAACCTATAAAGTAGGCAGTACTTCAATTCTGACAGAAGTTCTAACCTATCCAACACTGTTAAAAAAAATGTGGCTGCTTTATATGATATATTGTATATTGGTGGATCCTCTGTCCTACTGGGCCTGGGGCAAACGCCCACA